ACTAGATAATTGTAGTCCAGAGACCGACGTCACGATTCTAAATCTTATGTTACCATGGTGCTACAACTTCAGTAAATTGGGATACCTAGGATTTTTCCTTGGTTCCCATTCCATCTAATCACTTCTCCTACTTTACTTCCCTTACTTCCGAGTTAGCTTTACTAAGACCTTTAAGAATAAAAAGCTCACATTTTCCTATCTGGTAGCTTTGAGCTTCCAAACTTCAGCATTTACCTATGAATGAACCATTTTTGTACTTGCCCCCAACGAGACAAGTGTAATCTTTACTTGTTTGACTTCAAATTCTAGATTATTAATTAAAGCACTTTCGTTAACAATAACCCCCTTTGATACATCATCATCTTCTTTTTTATTAATTTGAGCGAATTTAAATAATAAACTTTATTTCAAAGAAGTACGATATTGATCTTGAGCTTTGTTGTAGGTGAAGATGAGCTGTCCATCTATTTATAAACGTGTCTCGTCAAACTTTCAAATCAAGGCACAATAAGCCAATTATTAGAGCCAATCCTTTTCCCAAAGTAACAGATCTTTTTTGACGATCTACATTGTTCTATCAACGAGAGGCATTCGACTTGGAGACTTGCGATGGTTATGAGTACGACTAGACGTGAAATTAAATCTTTCCCTTGGTTTTTCAAAGATCATTGAAACGTTCCGGACCTGTCAATCAAGCTCTTCCAATTAAATTTCAAATTTCCGGTTATTCCGAAATTCCATGATGTTTACTATTGTTACTAAGAAATTCTTCCAAGATTTTCACTGACGTTACCAAGTTCATTAACGTTACCGTATTAATTATCCATATCCTGATGTAAAAATTTTAATCACTTCCCTTTCGATGGTATGACTTACATCACGATTTAAAACCCATCTCTTGGGATCGATCGAGAAACCCTACATCCAATCACTGGAACTTTTCTCCACTTCAATCTTCAAAGATCTCAGTAACTAAACCAAGATCTGCACTAAGACAATTTTTAACGAAACCTACAAGCCTGCCTACTCTTTTAAGGCTTCATTTATATCTTAAAGGTATTACGCTTGAGAGTGCCATCCATTGTCAAGGCTAGTTCATTCGTCTGGTGAGTTGTTACACACTCCTTAGCATGGCCACCTTCTGCTATCTAGATGTGCAAACACCTTGTGTAATCTAAATGGGCGTAAGTTTTGCATCCCGCATTGACAGTTCTGCTTTCCAAAAATTGGCACACTAGAAACACTCATTCAAAAGTTCAATTAAGTAATATTTAAAGTTTGAGAATAGGTTAAGGCTGTTTCAACCCAGTCATAAAACTATTTATCGAGTTTCTGCTATCCAGAGGGAAACTTCGGATGGAAAAAGTTGATGGTTCGATTAGACTTTCGCAAATTTGACGATCGATTTGCCGTCTGAACTCCAATCAGATTTCATCTAGCTTCGACTTGTTTCGGGTTCTAGCAGATACGCTCTTACTACTCAAAACCATTTTCATGCACCCAAAAGCTTCAGGAGTTTCTATACAAATTTTCATTTCGCAATAAGCTAGGATAAATCACTCTTTAACCGTACCTATTTCTTAACATCCTGCAAATTCCGTAATGAATCACCATTTTGTATTTTTGACTATTTATAATAGGAATGGTTGAATATTGAATTTTTAGTCAATATAGAACATATTTTATAATTGTCGGAAGCTCGACGCACGTTTGTTCAAATATAAACGCTGCGGAAGCTTTCTCATTTTAAAAAGAAAATCTCTCTCCCCCCTCCTAGAATTACACAACCGACGCTTCCTACCAATGTTGTGATCGCTTTGAGAATATTGGCTATGGTAATTCTACCTTTTCTGAAATTTGTTTGTTCTTAAATTTACTGTTGAGAAATTATGATGATAAAAAAAAAATTTTTTCGCATCGTATATTCTAAACTATTATCCCAGCAATTGAAGATTTCGCTGGTCGGAAATAAAGTTCGCCCATTTGATATGCAAATTTGTATTTGAATAATAATTTAGTAATTCATGAATATTTCTCGTGTTACTGCCAATGTTTATCTTTCATTAAATATATTGATTCTCTTTAAATTTACATTAATAAGAAAATGAAGTAAAGCTTCGTGAAGTAATAATAGGTTTCTTAATTGCGTAAAAATTTCATCAGGAAGAAAAGCAATTTTGTGTAGAGAGCGGGAAGTTTACGAAATAAGTTATTAATTAACGTGAATATAGCTCAACTGAATGAACATTATTTATTTATTTTTATTTTTTTTTTTTTTTTAAAAAAAAAAAAAATCGTGGGTAAAAGGAGGGGCGATCTTTGTTTGTGGCTCACTCATTATTGTTGATTATCATGAGATATTGCGTCAAAGATTGACAAAAAGAATGACCTATTTTTTTTTAAAAAATTACACGTGCATTGCATCCTCTTTGAGTTTTATTTTTTTATGGAGGTCGTTCTCTTTTTTTTTTTTTTTTATATTAAAAGGTTTTTTCTTTTTACAAATTACACTTAATCAACAATTATTATTACACTCCTGATCCACTTTACAATTTTTTGAAGTTAATTTTGATCCGAAGCAGGAATTTGAAATATTTATAAAAATTTTTGCTATTTTTAGAAAATAAAACAAATTGAAATGATTCTAGTAAACCATCGATTATGTGATCAAAGAAAATTTATATTATAAATAGTCCGAATCTCAAAACTTGATTAATAAATGCATGTCTCTTACAAAGAAAATAATTTTTTTCGTCAAAATTGATTTCACTCTCTTTTTTCCTTTGATTAGGGCAATTGTTTTTGAATTAACCAGAAAATCAAACTCCAATGTCATTCGCAGATACAAAGAAACTTTATCTGATATTTGGAATAACTTCTTTAAAAAGTTCAGAATTAAACCTT